GGGGAGCTGCAGGAGAATCCCCCATGGCTGCCCTGCCCAGCCCCAGCCTAGTCCCGGCACATAAAAAAATTTAAAAAGCCCCGCACTCACCAGCTCCCTGAACATTCCCCAGTTCCTGGTTCAATTCCCCAGCTCCCTGATCACTTCTGTCAGCTTTTCCCAGAGGGTGCAGGCCCAGGGATGATGCAAGATGACAGCAGCTCTGAGCTATTTCCCCAGGCAGCAGCAGATCCAGGGGCTGTGTCCCCTGGGAAGAGCTGGGGGATCAAACCAGAAGCTCCAGCTGACAGGTGGAGCTGCCCCAGCTCCCAGACAGGCACAGCACCCTGGCAAGCCACACTGCACCTATGCCATGGGGTAGCTGTTATATAGGTGCCAGGCAGGGGAGGCAATCCCTGCTGCCTCCTGCTGCCCTGTGCTGCATGGGGGTGCTCTGCGATAAGCATGCAGAGGCCCCAATCGCTGCTCCTGTAGGTAGTGAGTGCAGGGCTTTTTTTTTTTTTTTTTTAAGTGCCAGTAACCTGGGCCAGGTGGGGGATGGGGCCAGGCAGGGAAGCCATGGAGGCTTCTCCTGTGGCTCCCCTGGCTGTGCCTGCCTCTGTCCCAGCGGAGGGAGCCACAGGGGCTCTGCCCTACTGCCACTTGCCCAGCTGGGGTGAGGCATGATGCAGGCACAGCTTGCTCCAGGCAGCAGCAGTGCATAGGCCCCACTCCCAGCACTACTGCACCTGCAACAGCACTGGGAGCAGGGGCTCTGCCCTGCCACCACTTGCCCCCTTCTGCCTGGAGCAAGCCGCACCCACATCCCATTCCCCTCGCTGCCCTGGCTGGGCAAGCAGCAGCAGGGCAGAGCCCCCACTCCCAGCGCTGCCGCACCTGCATCCTGCCGCCCCCCTTCCCAACTAATGCACCCCCCCACACCACCTGAGCAGTTTGTCCCAGCCCCAATCCCTCCCTCCCCCATGCCCCTTCCCTTCCTCCTCCCCCAACCCCAACAGACTTACCAGCTGGAGGCAGCTGTCAGCTGCCTATTTAGTCTATGGCAGAATATCCGAATCAGCCAAATCTTTTTCTGAAGCTTTTCCAAATCGATTTGGATGCTTTGAATCAATTTGGAGCTTTTATTTGGTCTCCCGATTCAATTCAGATTCGGAGATTCGGTCCTCGAATCAGGCCAAATCTCCTCCGAATTGAATCAGCTATCGAAGCTTCATACAGCCCTAGTATATGTAGGACAACCTGCACAATGTTACATCAAGTAGTTTGTTTAAGCCTTGAATAAAGAAGTTGTGTTAAGAACTTTGTTATATCATGATTTTTGAACCACAGGTTCAAAGGTCAGAATAAACTGCTATGCAGTAGTGCACTTTGTCATCATCACTTTCCTGGTGGTCCCATTTGTTTCTGACAGATTTGAAATTTTCATTTAAATATTAAGTTTCTAGCCCTTATTATTGCAAAGAAAACCCTGACGCATTGCTGTCGGCACAAACTGCTTGCAAAAATTGCCTGGAAGACTTTGAATTGATCTATTAATTTCACTCTGAATCTTGATGATGATGCTAACAGCTACTCTAGGTTTGTGGGCAGAGCTTCCCACCTCAATCCATCCCCCAGATTGGGCTTGGATTGATGAGCTTAGTTTGACACAAAAATGCAAATCTGAAATCTGCTCAGATTTAGCATAGTTCAAAGCTAGAATCCAGAATTGATCCATAAATATAATTCTACACCCGGTCCTGGGGCCAGTCCCACAAGCTGCTGGGCAGAACTCTCACTGCAGGTACTAGAAGCTTTGCTTGTGGAAGACTTATTGGGATTAAGCCTTCAAATTGTGAAAAACTTTTGGATCCTTGCACAGAGACAGCCCATAGAATGGGAGATATTTTTTGCTAAAACTAGGTGGGGTGAAATGTCTTTTGGGGCTCAGTGTAGAGCTTTTAAAACTTATAGAATATTAAATATTTATCAGCATTTCAAGAGGGAAATAAAAAAATGCTGTAGAAGTGAATTCTCCTTGGAATGCCAGCACCCAGCAGCAGTTTCCAGTTCAAACTGCTCCAGAATTTATTGCTTCACATTAATTGCATGTGTAGATGCACCCATGTAAACTTATCCACTGAGCTTCCCCACCTGCAGAACTGCACAGAGATAGATGGGTGCATCTGTGCCATTTCTATCAAGCACTAAACACAAGGAAAACTTGCAGATTGAGAGGTAGTGAAAGACTTTCATAGGAAAGTTGAATATAATATTGGTCATTACAGATAAGAGACTACTATTACCTCTAACTTCCCATCAACCCTCTTTACCCCATTACCATCAGATGCATACTTCACAAACACACAGGAGCTTTTGTACTTACAGGTGGACCTGAAAGAAAGAAAATGAAAAATAATTAGTGTTTATTATACTGAACTCTAAGGACAAAGTGTAGATGATTGCTCCATACTGTACCATCTTTATCCATTCATGAGATGGGATAAACTTTGATCACATGTATTTGTTTCACCTTCAGATTACTCCATTGTGCTTTGTGGCTTCATCCTGATTTACCTCATTGAAAATGAGATCAGACTCAAACCAGAATTTCCTTCTCTTTTTCTCTGCCTTTCTGCTTCTTGCTCATTTTCAGGTTAGGTTAGTCAAAATCACTTTACCACCAAGGACAAATAACAAATTTGTGCAATTTGATTGGAAAAGCACTAAGGTTAAATATGTTGACAACAAATCAAGATACTGCATCATCACTTACAAACAGGAGGGTTTAAATCCACTTAAAATGCAATGTAGCTCCTTTTAGCATATCCTATGCTTTTTAAGAAAGGAATCTTTCCACTTACTTTCACTGTTTGCCTTCATCAAGGCTAGGAACCTAATTCAGATGTGGGATGGAAGGTGATATAAGTAAAAGATACTTCACATGAATTTATACTTATGTAAGAGCTTTCATAGCTACCTGTGCCCATTCTAATAACACGTGAAGGAATGTAACTTGGGGGAACGTACTCACCAAGGAACTGTAAAAAGCTATAACAAAGTTTAAGCTAAGCTAGCTGCTTTAATCTGTGCTTTTTTGGCTCCTGATTGGGGTAGTGACATTTTTTTAGAACCACTTGCACATCAGTAGAGGGTAAAAGTTTTAGGAGAGTCAAATGGAAAGTGAGGGGTGCAGTACACACCATTTTATATATCACCATATCTTGTCTCTTTTCTTATTTCTTTTATCAGAAGAGTTCCTGATTCAATACCCTCTCCCCTGTCCCGTTCCCTTTTAAAATTAGATTTTAATAACAAAAGGTAAAGAGGAAAGAACTCGTTCTTTTCAGGTTCTGTTGGGCCTCTGACTCTAAAAATATGCTGTAAGAGGAATCTCTCAAACTTCCTCAGTCTAGCCTCAGGCAAGGTTATTTGAGTAGATGCGATATCTTTTAGCAGACCAACTGAGTAGTTGGAAAAAAGTTCTTAGCAAGCTTTTGGGTGCAGTCAACCCTTCTTCAGGCATAGAGAGTCTCTGTTGATCTACATATTCCTGCTATGAGTGTGTCTGCCTGGGCACAATGTACTGGCATGCCAAGGTCCTCGAATTAACTCTGAATGAGACAGCTCGTGTACCAAAAGCAGTCTAGCTATGTTAGCTTAAAAATGTAATGAGTTTTGTGTCTTCCTGAGAATAGCCTGACCTTATGGGACCTGGCACATTTTCAGAAAGCAGTTATAAGTAAAGCAAACTAACAAACACAATCACACAACATCTGTCCTCAAAGTCTGGAAATTGTACCTCATCTACACTCCCCTTTCTGCTAAACATTTTAAAAAGTAATTTGTACCCTCAACATAAAAAGTAAGTAGAAAATTAAATCTGACACAGATTTTCTCCCTCTTTCTCTCAAGCTTCCTTCTCAAGCCAGCCCCTGCTATATTTTGGATGTTTGTGGTTCAATGGAAATGTTTTCCTTCCATTTTTGTGGGTTAAATGGAGACAGATGTCTACTGTGATGTCATAACCTGTTACTGTGACCATTTGTATGACACCACAGAGTATTTTGGGCTGCCATTCAACAACCTCATCAACTCTTCTTACTGTAGCCCTGGGTTGCTTGACACATTGGAAGCTGATGTGATCAGATTGCAGTGAAGCATGCCAGACCTCTGTCAGCAGTAGCAGCAACAGCCTGGCCTGACTGTGCCCTACACTTCACAACTTACACTCTGCTCTTCCCCCTCTCCTCCCACTTACAGCTTTATCCCACCTTCCTTTTATTATGGCTCTGTGAGCCATGGGGACCTATCCTTTTACTCCTTATATTTCAAAATAGGGATGGGATGCATAGGGCCCAAATATGCATGTATGTATGTCTAAGAATCCATAACACTATTGACAATCATCTTACGTAGGTTTATCCTTTGCTCCTGTCCAACAACATTCTGTTCAGCACAGGACGGGAGTAGGAAATCAATATTCATCCCCTGATATCATCTGGCTGGAGACCATTATACAAGCCAGAGCAGTACTGGATTCTTCCAACTTATGCCTTCCTGCCCATAGATCCAACATGTTCTGCCAACAGCTAAGAATGGCTGGGGTATAAAGATGTTGCAACTGTACTTTCAGTTACTCATATACACTTCTCTCAGTGAAGCTCATTGTGCTGCCAGGTGACACAAACTGGTACAAAGGGCATCTGAGAACCCAAGCTAGTTCTTGGTATAAATTAAAGGATTGTTAGGATTGTTCTACCTTACATAAAGCTGCCAGAGGCCCCAAGTGGCATTCTGGTAGTCCAGGATTGCTTGAGCACAGATATGCCTGGGCCATGTCCCCTATATTGGAAACAGAATGGGGTAGAAAAGTCAGCTCCATGCTACTCTACTCAGGGATTCAGCTGTTCTAGGATATTTTCATTACCCACATAAGGTAGCATTACAGCTGCTTTGTGCCTACAGCACCATAGCAAGTAATCATAACCAGGCTGAGGACTGGTCCCAGAGTATTTGGTCAATAAGCTTAAACAGCCTTATTTGTTACCAAAAGCCCTAAATGGCGCTCACTCATCAGTTTCCAAATCTCCAGTTTCTCTTATAACCACATAATGGTTATTATGTGAAGCCAGTACAAAAATGTGTAGCACCCATAAAATATAGTGAATTGGACATAAAGATAGGCAGCATAAGAGGCTGTCATAATAAAAATACTATTGATTTCCTACTTAGCCTAATGAAACCCCTCCACACTGGAATTGAAGCAAAGCTGCTGTTGAAACCAAAAGGCCTAAATATGGAATGTAACACCAGTTTGCAACAGAGTAGAAGGCCTTGACTATAGGGATCTCAGTTCTGTTTGGGTCTAAAGCAGGTGCTGTCCTTTTTGAGTGGCCACAACTGAATTTAGATTTCCATGTGTCCAGACTAACAAGATCAGAACCACAGGATGATCCCTTTTAATTTTGTGTAGAAAAAAAATCAGAACACATGGCTTGCTGTGGCTGCATTTCCCAGCTGGACCAGCCAAACTGTATGTTCTGATGCTGGTGGTGAATTGCTGAAAGTGAGTTAGTTAGGAAGGAGCCAGTCTTTTATTTATAGCTTTAAAAGAAGAAAGAAATTATTCACCTTCCTTAAATAGGTTCTGTAGACAGCCCCTGTGCTTGGGAGTTACCTAAGTACCCCTTTCCACTCTTTTTTCATATCTTATCACTTACTAGATAAGATCCAGGGTATGTTGCTGAAACAAATGGCATAGTATACATGCTGTTCACAAACCCAATTAACATGTATGCCTCTGGTTGTATGAATCTATGCATTGGAGGAAAAAGGGCAGGCTATGCACCACAGATGAGAGAGGGATATCAGAAATTATGAAGGGCAGGAAAGCCTCTGGGAATGGGAGGCATGGAAGAAAGAATAATATCTGCATGACTCTGGATGCTGTGAAGGTCAGGTCAGCAGAGCACCCATCACCAATTTAGCACAGTGGGATTTATGTGACTGGGAAGAAAAATGAGTGCCCCTTTCCAATGTGGGACAAAGGGGCACTAGAAAGTAAATTTAAAGAAGTAACCAACTCAAAATGTATTGCAAATGGGGACCCCAAGATGCTGTCTAACAACAGGCAGCTGGAGAAAGAGGTAAGGGGAAGAACGCTACAGTGAGTGGAGACTGACTCTATTTGGTTTTGGACAGAGAGAAGACTGTGGGTGAAAACCACACACCTAATCAGAGACAGATTCTGCACTCCCCCAGTCAGTAAAAGAGGGGTGTTGTGGGAGATGGAAATGAGAAATGTTCTACCTAATGAGGTGGATGACCTTCAGAGGTATAACCATAACTTTGGCAGTATCTGGGGAAGATGTGAAAAACATCCATTCTCTATTTTCATAGATTCATAGATTTCATAGATTTCATAGACATTAGGGCTGGAAGGGACCTCGGAAGATCATCGAGTCCAGCCCCCTGCCCAAAGGGCAGGAAGTCAGCTGGGGTCATAGGATCCCAGCAAGATAAGCATCCAGTTTCATCTTGAAGGTGTTCAATGAATGCACTTGAACCACCTCTGGTGGCAGGCTGTTCCAGACCTTGGGGGCTCGGACAGTAAAGAAATTCTTTCTTATGTCCAGCCTGAAATGATCTTGAAGTAGTTTGTGACCATTCGACCTCGTCATCCCTTGGGGCGCTCTGGTGAACAAATGTTCCCCCAGATACAGTAGATACTTCCATGAACAGCCTCATCAAATTCAGTGGGACCATGTATGTGAGTAAAATTAGTGAGTGCAAAAAACTTTTTGACTAGCATAACTCATTTTGGAACCTCCCTCACATCCTATAAAACCTTCAGAATTTAAAAAGGGTCCAGCAGAATTAATGAAGATAAGTGTTCCTAACTTGTAAAATAATAATGGATTTGTTACAAGCATAAGAAACCTTCCTGTCTGAGGCAATACAATTGCACAGAAAAGCTAATGAGCAAATTGCAATTATCAAATACAGTGGATAGCTTTTCCTTCTACAATAAGCTAATTCGCATATTTTATTTCTCTATCTGCCCTCAGGGGAGTCAGTCTATTCTTCTGGAAGATGTTTACTTTAAATCCTTTGGTTGCTTTTCCTTTGAAAGCCTTTGGAAGCTGCCAGCATGCAGAGCTGAAGAGTCTACGTACAAGAATATTTTATTGAATACCAATAAATATGTGGAGTTTAAATGGAGAGCTTTCTTTCATCAGGTTCCCAATTTTTCCTTAAAATCCTACAGATACTGCTGAATAAAGAGACCTCTTGAAGCCCACACTGGACCCCACAGTCAAGGGGCCGACATATCATTGGGGCGAAGATCTGAATACCTGAGCGGTTGGCAAGTGGATGGGGTGTAGGGGAGG